GAAAGCGACTCATCTAACCTAACCAAACTTAACCTAACCTAACCTAACCTAACCTAACCTTTGGGCCATGCCATCTCCGAAAGTACAATACAGCTGCTTCTCATTCTATGGTTGTACAAAACTAAAATTTTACCCACTTTTCTTCTATGACATTTACCTCACAAATGACCTAAAATTACTTAACCTAACCTCTTAATGGTGGAGCTTGGCCCCCCTAGATCCTGCAGTACAGTATTTTTAAGACATTTGCAAGGAAAACATCATAGAAGAAAATTGTCTTAAAATTGTCTAAATCATTGGAAAAAATACTTTGTTCAACTCAGGTCAAAACTATAAATTGACCAGTACTTTTTATATTTTTTTTTTTTCTTGGTAAAATTATCGTTCGGTTATCCACCTATTTGAAATGAAAGTCATAATCGTTCAGAACACATAAACAAACAACAGAAAAACATAATTTCAACGTAACCGAAGCTAACCTAGCTGGATGACCAAAACAATATTACTGTAATACCTTTGTCTCTATCTACGGTCATAAATCACCTGTAGTGGGCAGGGCATGAAGGATGAGGGAAATTGTGGGGGAGAACACTGAAAAACTGATCATACAACACTAAAATGATGTTTCTATGTGCTTTGTATGTGAAAAAATTAATTATTTACCGTAAATTCTTTAAAAATCTGCTGAGTCAGTGCGTGTTGTTGTCTGCTCAGTTTGTATACAACCGACCTGCTCAGTCCGAGTGTACTCTCGTGTCCACAAAATATGTAAAGTTACACCATGATGCTTCAACAAAGTTACTTCTATTGGTACAGGCATACCAGGTATAAACGTAATTACAGTACTTTCTGTTTAATATGGTAGGGGGTCTGGGGGGGCGGAGGTCCTCTGCTTGGAAGCTATGTAAGGTTAGGTAAGATTCTTTGGTTGGTTAGGTCAGGTTCTATTAGGATCTAGTAAATGTTGCCTAATTTAAAATACTTATTATAATGATGAGAACACGTGTGAAAAATTAACAAAATCAAACACTCCTTTGGTGGTACAGTAGTGGTGTTCTCATACATTACCACAAAAATACTTGTGAATTCTTTCAAGACAAGACTTGACCAATACTGGAGCGAGTTCAGGTACATTCAGGAGCCGGTGCATGCCCAGTACTTGCCAACAGTGCGTAACAGAGACGTGACCGATCGCCCAAGCGGCTAACGAGCTGATCTTTTGGTGAAGAGGATAAAAGAAAAGGGAAAGTAATCAAAGATGCAACCGATCGCCCAAGCGGCTAACGAGCCGATCAGTGGTGAAGAGGATAAAAGTAAAAGTAGTAAATTTAAGTAGGTAATGGTGGTGGAGCCGGTTAGCACCAGAAGGACTTTATGGAATTGCACCAAATTTTCAGATGTTTGGATGATACTGAGTACAGGGGGTCCCCGTGCTATGAACGGGTTCCGTTCCTGAGTATGTTCATAAGTCGGAAATGTACGTAAGTCAGAACACATAATGTACTCTTTTATGCATCTCGAATCCCTAATTTAAGAGAAAAGAAGTCATTGAATGACTAAAATACAGTAAGGAAAGGTAAAATTTAAAGTTTAACTCTTACATTGAAGCATGCGGCTGGCTTGTATGTAGAGATGGGCATTTGTAGGAGTGACAGAGGCATTATTGGGACGAAGCTGAAGACGGTGATGATGATGTAGATGTTAACAGAATTGATTCTGGTCCAAAAAGTTGTGGGTGGGGAAACATGGCAAGCCCACTCAGCTGGGGGGTTCTGTTAGCCCCCCCTGAAATTTTTTTGGAATATAACCAAGGTATCGTTATTTTCTGATGAAAGGAGGGGGGGGGGAGTCCAGATCCCCTGGATCCACCCCTGCAAAAGTAATGTTAATTTTGTATTAGCATAGACAGTGAAACAGTTTATCATCGCATCCACTTTATTATGTTTTCAGTTTGCATTTACAGGTACAGCCTTTTTCCGATTAATGAAACAAATCCATCATAATTTTTAAAGTAAAATGTTAATGTTTCTTGGCATTTAACAGAAGATGAGTGAAGCAGTCCGTGAATACGTTGATTTTTCCTACAATTAAAGAATTTTTCTTACTTATGAGGCACACCCACCAGAATAATGTCAATGTTAATCTCTTGGTGCATGAGGAACTACAATTAAACAACACACACACACACACTAATATACAGTGGCCCCTCAGTTAACGAACACAATTCCTTCCACAGAGTCGTTCGTTAACCGAACCTATTATTTCAATGGGATATTGGGTAATTTGTTCCAACTCACAGAAAAGTACAAACAAAGTATAAACAAAATGCAGTACAGTACAGTACACTTACTTTGAGATGTGTATGTAGAATGTTGGACCCATGCTTGATGCAGTAATTTCACCAATAAAATTTTAAGTTCACTAGCTGTAATTAAAGATTATTTTATTTAAATCAACACTGCACTGCGCTATATATTATCAATATGTTAACTAAATTTCAGATTGACCAATAATTTTAATGTAAAAACGTAAAAATAGTCAGTATTCAAGAGGCCAACAAACTCGATGTTTCCTTCACTGTAGCATAAAGTGGCAACTTGTGATTTTTTTAGGGAGGCAAAAAGATCTATCTTTGGAATTTTCAAACTTCGATAAGCTGGTTTTCCGGCTTGTTCGTGGTGTCGATTAATGTACAGTATAATCTCTCTTCTTTTCAATTTTTAATTTCTTTTTACTCTTATTTTTTTTTTGCCCCTCAAGACCCCGTTGTAGTTCGATGACCTGTGCCCAGGTGGGCCCTTCCCTGTAAAAAAAAACACTCATATGATTTAGGTTAGAATAGTCAGGTTAGTGTGGTTCAATTTGTGAATGAAATAATACTGTATTGTGTAATATAGCAGCACTGTACAGTATCTGGTAGTATTTCAGAAAGTTCCCAGTCTCACCCAGTGTTAACAAAGATGCTTGAGATTTTATTATTAGACCAAAATTTTTTGGATTTTGCTGTAAAATACTTTGTTGATACTGACAAAGGCTCAGGTATAATTATCAAGTACAGTATACAGTAAAATATAAGGACAAGAGTTAGGATTATCCAGCTAAGTAATGAAAATTTTAATAGAAGAAAATTAATTTCATGTCTCAAAGACCAAAGCAAATCAGGTGAAGGAATAGAAATCCTTGTATTCAGATTCCCCCCTCTGTTTTCCTGTAAATAAAGATGCTGCTGCTACCTTTTTCCCTTTCCTTTTATCCTCTTAGTCACTTGGGCGGCCGGTCACATCTCTGATACACACTGTTGGCAGTGTCTTCACAACAATACCTTGTTTGCATGTGACTGTTGACAAATGCTGCATTGGCCCTGAATGCTAAGTGATAGAATGCTTCCCAGTCAATGAATGACTGACTGACATTCCTTCCTTTCTATCCAAACCTACCTCGCCAAACCTTACAAAACCTAACCGTTTTAAACCAATGTAGAATAATAATGGTAATGCTAATATACAGTACTTCCATCCTAAGTAATAATGAAAATAAGCTAAAATTTTGCAGTTTTTATTTATTTATTTTCACTCAGTATGTTGGATTTTCCATCAATAATCAGTGTGAAAAAATACAGTAAATTTTTGATGAGTACAAACACAGGGAACACAACATCAGTGCTATCCTTTTAAATAAATGGCAGTTAAGATTTTTTTTTTCAAGTTTCCCTCTGTAGCATTTTCTTTTTGTATGTTCAGGTATCATATCCCTATGTACAGTACAGCGTTTCATATTTTGCATGATTATTTCTAAGATTTTATGTAATTTTTCATTATTATGTACTGTATACTTTATATTACTACGACATAGTGATATCTCCATTAGCCGGAACAATTGGTGCAGAGCACTTCCGGGAATGAGAGATTTACGGGTAACGAGACGACTCTTTCAAAACGGTGATGTATCTTTTTGTTGGAACATATCCCAGCTTTTATTTTGGGCATCTATTTAAATTATGCTTCGATTTACGAAAAGCACTTTATAAATGGTTTCCATGAATGGAACCCTTTTGTAAATTGGTGAATGCTTGTATTTGCAAAAATAATGATAATACAGTCCAGTATAACAAAACAGATACAAGAAGTACTGTACTGTATAGTACTAGGGTTAATGTTTCCTTGGACACATGTTCAGATAGTATCCACTTTTCATAATTATCCATTTTACAGAAGCCTCATGGTCCCAAATTTTTCAGTTGACTGATGCTTTACTGTACAGTTTTGGCAAGCTTTCTGTTCCTATTAAAATTAGACAGTTCTCTGGTACAGTACTGGAATTTGCTTTATGTCAAAGTATGCCAAAGCTACATGAGGCTGTGGTCTTTTCCTATTACATGTATGGTGAATTTATTTCTGAAACAACAAGTAGGCCACTGCCTTTGCATGCATAGCACATGTAGACATTCCCTGAATTATGTCGATTTTTTTAAGAAACAGACCAATGAATTTCTGTATTATCTAACGTTGGTCCATTCCTTCTAGAATCATTGTTCAGTGCTAGCTTGTTTTTGATCCCTAAAGTGTGCATAACATGCAGGAGTGAAGGCCTACTTTCCAGTTCATAAGTGATTCCAGAGTAATGACAGTAGCAAGGCAAATATTTTATTTTACTGAGCTGAGTAATTTGATATTACTTTTACTTTTTTTTTTTATATACTTTTATCCTCTTTACCAATGATTGGCTCGTTAGTTGCTTGGGAGGTCGGTCACGTCTCTGTTACACACTGTTGGCAAGTACTGGGTATGCACTGGCTCCTGAATGTATCTGAACCTACTCCAGTGTTGGTCAAGTCTGGTCTTGAAAAATCTCAGTGTTATGCACTGTTGGCAAGTACTGGGTATGCACTGGCTCCTGAATGTATCTGAACCTGCTTCAGTGTTGGTCAAGTCTGGTCTTGAAAAATCTCACACTCAGTGCTGTCACAACACACGCTGACAGATTGTTCCAAGAGCTCACAATTCTCGCTCCGAAAAAGTTTGCCCTTACAGTTTTCTGGACATGTGGTTTCTTCAACCTTGAGCTGTGTCCCCATGTGTCCGGGCCAAGGCAAAGAACCCTTGACATAGTGGTGAGAGTTACATGCGTTACTGCTGTGCCACCAACATCCTAAGGATGAAATACTGTAATGTGAATTCGGGAAAAAAATCGAAACCGTCTCCATTTTTTTTGGAAGGGGGGAGCAGATTCCAAGGATGGAGTACGTAATGCGCAATTTCCGGAAAATTCTGATAAAATTTTCCCAGTACTACTGTACCCAGAAAAATTCTGGGGATGTGGGATTTTTTCAGGTTTGAGAGTCATCTTGTTACCCGGAAATCTCTCATTCCCGGAACAGCTCTGCACCAATTGTTCCGGGTAACAGAATATCTCCACTAGCCGAATCCTTCAAACCGGAACTCTCTGATAGCTGGAATTGAAATTTTATCGGAAAATCGTTTCCAAAGCTGTAATTTTGTGGAATATTAGGGCTTTGGGAACGATTTTTTGAGGGGCACATTTTCCAGAAAATTCAAAACAAGTTTTCCCAATACAGGGGTACCCGGAAAATTCTGGGCAATTTTTTTTTATTTATTTATTTAAATTTTTTTTCTCCAGGTTTTGAGAGGTGAAAATTCGGTGCATTTTCCAGAAAAATTCGGAGAAAAAATTGTTGGTGCCCAGAAAATTCCGGGGAAGGGGGATATTCTTCTGGGTTCGAGAGATGACGTAATGAGCAATTTTGAGAACTTCTGAGAACATTTTTCAGTTACCCAGAAAATTCCGGGGATGAGGGATTTTTTCCGGCTTTGAGAGAGTCGTCTCGTTACCCGGAAATCTCTCATTCCCAGAAGTGCTCGGCACCAGTTGTTGTGGCTAATGGAGATATCACTATTAGGATCAGCTCGGACCAGGCAACATTCCCTAAAACTCGCTGGGTTAAGGAGTTTTGCTTTAAGTAAATTGTGTGGTTTGAAAGTATTATTTGTTATAACTAATTATCATAATGTAACATTATAAAATACTGTATTGTGTTATGTATAATATTGTTCCTTTTGAGAGAGAAAGGGAGATAGAGGCAGGACATAATAATGAAGGATTGCGGAGCTGAGCAGAATTGCTGATCCACATGCTGTTGGTGTCCCTTAAGCATCCACCAATCAAATGCGTTGGGGACTGGGTTTGTTTTTTCCAATTTAAGTAGAACGGCTATTTGTTTGTTAATTATGATTGAGTTTGAGGAATATGTTTCTATACTCAAGTTCAAACACTTTTATATTTCATAGACCCATATTAAACAAAATACATACTGTTCAGAGTTAGGATATGGGTCCGTTAGGGCATCTATAAACATTTAGTTGTCTTGGGCATAAATCTTGAATCAATGCAGATTTGATGAGATCTGCAGTGAATGTATACGATACTATATTTACAGTAGATGGTATGAGGCGCTCAGAACCAGAGTGGCAAAGCAACCAAAATCATGTTTTGCACTAGATCCGTTTTAGGTCTCATAAGGTAGGAAATTTGGCTTATTTTTAAGGTACCAGTATGCTGTACAGTATAGGACCCTTTAAATTGGTTGGGTTTAAGTTATAAAGAAATAAAAATTTTATCAGCCACCACATTCCATAACCTGTAATAAAATATAAATAATCATTATCATTAATGTATGACATTATGATGTAAATACGCACCGACAAAGGAAATATTGATACACGTGTGGCTGGTGCTGTGCTATTACCTACGGCTGGTTGGCTATGTTCACCTGTAGATTCCTCAGTCAGGCTCCATGGCTCATTTGCATTACAGTTTGTAAGATATGGAAACACTTCCTTTTCTGAAGGAATCTGGCTCTAATGCTAAGATGAAGATCCTCTCCCTTATCAGCTGATGTGGTAGAGAAACACGTTCAAACAAAACCAATAAAATCCAGGAGTTGGTTTGTCATTCTGGCTCTGAACATCTCATATGCAGAACTTTAAATTCTGATGACTGTCAAAAGACAGGTTCTTAAGGCTCAAAGAATTAATTTGCTAACATGCTTTATACATGTATGTTGCAGTACATTAGTTGGGAACATGTGAAGTAGTAATGAATATGTATGATTTGTTGAAAAACTTTGATTATAACTTGATACTACAGTATAAGTACTTTTGTGTTTTCAAACAAGTTTTGAAATTTCTTGTAAAAGAACCTGTTATAGTATTGTCAAAGAGATTTTTTTTGTATGTTCATCCCCATCACTTATTACAGATTTCTGGAGAGAGAAGTGTCACTGTACCAGAACACACCATGGCTGAAAATTTGATGGGTTTGAAGTCTGAAGACAGATTCAGTTCTACTGGGTCTTTAAATACTAAGAATATATATAAACCGGCTTTATCTGAGTACATTACGAGTCCTCCTAGATGGCCTAACTTAAACAGCAGTTCTTCATCTGAGAATTCAGATAATTTATCAAGGAGAGACAATAGTGACTTTGAGGACAGTGACAGTTCTATATATATGTCTAAAGGGCATTGCTTCCCTAGTTGGCCTATGGATGATTCCAGTTGTGGTACCTCTAGCTACTCTATTGATGAAGATAGGTCAATTTTGAATGAAGATTCAATATTTCTGGATGATGGTGAAGAAGATGATGATGATGATGATGATGATGATGATGATGATGATGATGATTATTACTCTCAGTCTGAGAAATCTAATTTGTCAGAGAGCATTAAGGAAACCATTCCCTTAACTAATACAAGAAACACCATGTCACAAAAGAATAACCTAGATAGCTTCAAATCTGAAATAAATAACAATAAAGTCGTAGAGTCTCCGTATATTGTCACCACTGCCCTTATGTCTCAAGTCAGTGAAAATACCAAAATGTCTCCAGATAAAATGAGAGAGGAGATAGAAAATAATGGTATTGAAACAGAAGAGTCTAAAGGAAGGAGTAGAATGTGGTGTTATGCTAAATCCAGGCTGGACATAGAAATTCAAAACTTAGAAGTATATATTCATAGTATGGAGCTTCATATACCCATGTTGAAATCATTGTTGGACAATCTAAAATCATTGAAAACATCTGGACAAATGCATAAATTAGAACAAGCAGATGAAATTTTTTTTCTTCCATATGTGAATGTTGCTCCACATTCTACGAGAGAGAGAAAAAAAGCAGACATAAGGCCTTTTGATAAAAAGGGGAAAGATTTAAAAATTCATCTATTAGAACCAAAGACCTTCTTTGATAAAAATATGCCAGAAACTGACATCACCTTGAGCATAAAGAATGAGGAAAATATTAAGAAAGAGCAAGTCAGTAACCAGGACAGGTTAGATTATGGTGAGACTTCCAGTCTGATAAATAAATGGCAGTTTGATTATCCTCATATCTGTTTAACTCCATCATGTGAGCAGTGTAGTGCATTCTGCCAAGAAAAAATTAGTCCTTCACAGTACATTAGTGTTAACTCGGAGAAGCCACTTCAAGGAGAGGTTGAAACTCTGGGCTCAAAAGGTCATGGCTGTTGTGTTATGCCACCGGACAGTGTCCTTCAAAACACTAGAACTGTCAAGAAGGGAAAAAAAAAAAAAAAACATTACTCCAATCCTTGTGGAAAATATAATGATCATCAAAAACGTTACTTCACAATGCCTACAGGAAACAAAGGAAAGTGTTTTAATAGAAGATCAACCCAAAAAAGTTCCGTCATTCCTGTACAACAAAAGTTTCGCTGCCAGCAAGATGAACGTCCGAATGAGCGACGTTTGTCATTGAGGTCTTACAACAAGTCATTTAACACAAGTACCCCGAAACCCAACATTCAGGTTAAAGACCCTTCCATAACTGAGCCCGACTTTATAAAGGCAAGTTAAAGGCTAAGTCATGTTTTCAGATGTTGCTATTATACTGTACTGTAGTTGTATAGTTTTTTGTATTTGTATTTTGGAACTCAAGCATATAGTATGATTATTAGATAAAACTTGTGTAAAGATGTTCAGTGTTTGGTATTTTCAGTGATCAAAGGCTGTCTTCAGTATATTATATGTCCCTGGATTAGAGAGTAAGGTAAAACTTTAAATTATGTTTTACACTAAATTACCAGAAATCTGTATACAGTGGTCCCTCAGTTAACGAGCAATCCCTCGATTAACGAGTTTTTTACGAGCCGACTTCAACATGTTTTCGCTTGCATTTGGCGGTCCACCAGCTGTAGTATTAGGTAAAGAAACTAGTTTCTGGCGTGCCATCCAGCCTGTTAACACACCAGACAGGTGTTAGTCTCTCTCTGTTTTCAGTGGAGGTAACATCTTGCTTGAGACTCTCTTCAACTAAATGCTTTTTTTCTGTGTTTCCAAGCAAATTATTGGTCATTTTGAAATATATTTTACATATTGACAATATATAATGCAGTGCAGTGTTGATTTAAAGAAAATAATCTTGAAATACACCAAGAAAACTAAAATTTTATGGATGAAATGGTGCCATGGGGTGACTTCTCTTCCACCCCAATGCCTTTTCTTCTTCCTTCTCCTCCACCCCCATTCTAATTCCCATCATCATCATCATCCAGGAGCCTTCTACATACACACCTCAAAGTAAGTGAACTTTTCTACCATTTTTGTTGAATTTTGGAAATTTTCGGTGAGCTGGAACCAATTACCCAAAAACCCATTGAAACAATGGTTTCGGTTAATGGTTTCGGTTAACGAACGACCTTCTGGAACGGATTGAGTTCGTTACCCGAGGGGTCACTGTATACCCTGTACAGTACAGTACAGTATATGGGTTCCTGGAGTACGTACAATATACGTATCAAATTCCTAAAAATATCTACTTTTTCAGGCACTTTGTCCCAATCATTTCAGATTCCTGATACAGTACTCAAGTGTACAGTACAGTACTGTACTGTACTTGGATGACAAAAAATTCATCATAAATTGGGAAATGTTTGGAAATTTTCCAACTTGGCCTGGTAGCAAGAGGGCTAAGATAAACATTCACTATCAGTTCAACCTCTAAATTGTGTTTAGTAATGCTGAATTCCATATTTCATTGTAAAACACTGTACAGTGATCCCTCGGTTAACGAACGCCTCGGTTAACGAAATTTCGGTTCACGAATTACCTTCCATAAGAATATTAAATTCGGTTAATGAACAAATATTCGGTTTGAAATTTTTACGAAATCGTGTCAACATGTTTTCGCTTGCTCACCAGCTGGAATATTAGTCCACCAATACAGTAATCGGTTCTAGGGCTTAAATTCGTTAAAATTTGAGTATATATAAAGAAGGTTGTACTATTCAATAATTTTCCCAAGTTTTAAATTAAATTTTTTAGTCATTTTACCAATTATTTAAAATAATAATTGCAGTACAGGAAACTAGTTTTTGGTGCGCCAAACAGCCTCTCAATTCGCCAAACAGGCGTCAGTTTGTATCTCTGGTCAGTAGAGGTAACATCTTGCTTGTGACACTCTTGAACATAAACTATTTTTACATTTTTACAGTACAATTATTGGTCACTCTGAAATTTATTTTACATATTGACAATATATAGTGCAGTGCAGTGTTGATTTAAAGAAAATAATATTGAATTACACCTAGTGAACTTAAAATTTTATGGGTGAAATGACGGCATGAAGCATGGTGTGATTTCTCTTCCACCCCCACTTCCTTCTCTTCTCCCTTCTCTTCCACCCCCACTTCTAATTCCCATCATCATCAACCAGGAGCCTTCTACATGCACACCTCAAAGTAAGTGTACTTTATTGCATTTATTTTTACTTTGTATGTAATTTTCGATGAGCTGGAATCAATTACCCAAAATCCCATTGAAACAATGGTTTCGGTTAACAAAATTTTTGGTTAACGAACGACCTTCTGGAACGAATTGTGTTTGTTAACCGAGAGACCACTGTAGTTTTAAGAATGCAACAATACAGCACTTTACCTCGTTTAGTGGCTTACCTCTGTAAATTACTTAGGTGCTTTAGTTACATTATTTTTTATTAAGGGTTATGCAGTAATTTACGGTATTTAAGACAGACATTTTTTTTTCCTGAAAATGACTAAAAAAGGTAAATCACCCATGACCTATATGTGAAATTGCAATCTCCCATGGGCTAATGACTTCCCTAGTTACTGTCTCCAGTAGGCTAATTTCTACCTAGCCTGACTCCAGAATAATTGTTTTTTATTGTTTACTTCAACACCATATGAATTATAACTTGTAATTAATTAAAAAGGAATTGTCAATATAAAATCAGGATTTATAACTACTGATGATAAGAGTACCTGGAGAAAACCTGCATACTGTAGGTTGGTAGGGTCACATTGGATAATTCCCTTCTGACATCTGTCCTGGGTCGGGGATTGAACCAAGGACGGAAGGGTAAAAGTTATATGCATTACCACTGTACAATAGCGGTACAAGGCATAGTTGTGCCTTTTGAGAATTTCTTCGTGGCTGCGCATATCTTAGTGGTTCTTCTTCCTTCAATACAGTAGTTGATCTTTTTGATAGATGACATTTTCATAAAAAATTCATTTAATGTTATGTGTATTTAAAAAGGGAGTAAATTTTAAAATAAACATTATGATTTTCTTTTTCAGATTGTCAGTTCTCCGCGATATAAGTTGCGGACCCGTTCAAAACAACACTCACTGTGAAAAACTCATTAATGTGATTCTGCCGAGCGCGATCCATATTAGTGCCATGATGGAAGTGAGATATATCGAGTGAATATCTTTTTTATGTTTTCCTTTTCCTTTTATGTAATTTTAATTTTCTATTGAACTTTGGTCCATTTTTTCTTGATTATATATTAAATAGGAGGAATATACAGTTATGTAAAATGAAGTGTTGGATATAAGATTATAGTATGTACAGTACTGTATATTATATTGATATGTGTATTTGGTTTAAAAGTTCTTTTGTATTTTAAGGGGAATGGAAGAAATATCCGTCTTTGTACTTTCTTTGTAATATAATATATATATATATATATACACACACACACACACACACACACACACACACACACACACACACACACACACACACACATGTCCAGCAATCCCGTGTTTTTCGCTGGAATTACATTCCTGAAACCCCTGCGAAAAGCCAAAACCACGAATACTCTTTTAGGAATCACTGTACCTGTGGCCACCAAACAGCTCAGGTAGGTCATGCACTTAACCACACCATACTCTCCACTAACGGCCCAGTGGTCACACTGATCACTGATGCACTGTACCGGCATTTACCAACATCATTATTTGAAACTAATCATATTGTAGTATAATGATGGAAAAACGTAAATACAGTTACAATAAAAAAAAAATTATTTACAAGTCAATAAATTTTTTTATATTTCGCTGAGGTCGGCAACACCTGCACTGCCAGCCTCTCTCTGCTGTCCTGGCGTCCGCCCGCCCTCTCGCAGTCACAGTAGCGATCACAGTACAGTAGGCACGTGTGGACTGATGCTTCTCGGGGCAGCGGGTGTCTTGAGGTGGGAAAGGGTGGCGTCTGTTTGCCGCACCTCACGGGAATCTCGAAAATGGCGCGAAATTTAACTGAGTTAATGGAGGATTTCTTGTATAAGTTATGTTATTAGATTTTTATTTAGTGCTGGAACAATGTGGTCTAGTCAATAACTTTAGCATTCGTTTTAAGGGCACAATCTTTATTACTATCACTACAGCAAAGTACTGTAAGATGAAGTCATTCTTGAAAAAGTTATTATATTAAGTAGCATTTTATTATCTGGATAAATTTATATTAGATTTTTATATTCTATCATCATGTGTTACAGTATTTTTTAATTAGCAAAACAAATTTTTTATGATTTACAGTTCTGGCTGTTGCTGTTTTAGTATAAATTTGAGATGACTATATCATGGAAATGTATGTGATTCAATATCTTGGCACTAGTTATTGAGATATGAGACTATGGCACTACAGAAGGGAATGTTTCATTATAAGGATTTAGGCTAGTACTGTTTTTTTAGTATAGTGTTTATATGTCTAGTTTTACTAGGTTGGCTTCTAGATCTTTTTATCTTTTTTCTCATTTATAATACTAGATGGTGTAAGGATCATTTCCAAATAATATAATAGGCATTTTACATCTTTGTATGAATACAATTTAAATTACTGTATCTAAAAAAAGAAAAGGTGATTAGACTGACCTTTTATTATTATTATTATTATTATTATTATTATTTTTCTTGATTCACTGTCTTGTATGTGATTCTCAGGGGCATTGCTTTCACCGTATACTGGTATTCTTTCTTTTCTTTCCATGTTTGTAAAGTTTTTCTCTTGCTAATACCGGTCCAAAAAAATCTCATGTTCATGAGGTTTAACGCACAGTTATATGGTGCTTGCTCTTTATTCCAAATTTGGTTTTCACATGCCAGATAACTAAATGCTAAACACATTATACCTATCTTATTAATAAATAGTTGCCTGTTGCATTTGAGATCAAAGCTCAAATTTTCTCTGGATATGTTGGTAGGTATTATGTGCTTGAGCATAATACTATGGGCATAATACTGTACATGTAACTTTTAAGGTATGGTGATTTAAAAAAATTATATATGTGATAAATCTTGGGACATTTTTTTGTTGCATATTTTATCCACACTTCTTACTATATATTACTGTGCTGTAGTGTTTGAAAGATTATAACAAATTCCTTTTTAGGTGACAGTGATACAAACTTACATGCAGTATATATTTTTGTTAATTGGTTGTCCAACATTAGTCTATGTGGAGAGGTGCAACAAGCTGTATGTTTTATTGAGATAATATATAGGTAGATAGGTTACCTTCCTTAACTATGTACAGTATAGTGTGAAAAAATGAAGCTTAAAAATATTTTCTTTTGAATGTTATACATTTTAAATACAATATTCAGAATACACTGTACATATTAAATGTTTCATTTTATATTGTTTTTAAGTTCAGTATAAATGCAGTAGAACATATTTTGAAAACCTAATTAGTTTCCCCTTTCTTTCTTGCTAACACCATGCTGTGTAGATTCTTCTTCATTTACTTTCATTTATTTTAGTTGGTGTAAAATATTTGGTAATTTTGTTCCTGTTCAATAGCACCTTAAGATATGTCATGAAACCCAGTGTCACGTAGAAACTACTTAATATGCTATAATATCATCATTATTATTATTGAATGTGTGTGATTGTGGTAAAAGTGAGAATCTAATTGAGTGTATCAACTAGCAGCAAGTACAGTAAGGATTCACGTTTAGAATGATCTGTTATGATGTGCTGTATCTGTAAAGATTTTATTTTGCTCATCTTTTTAAGACTTTGTGTAATAAGTAGCAAATAAAGGATTGCATTGTTGACTTGATATTGTATCTCCTTAAGATTCAGTGTATAATTCAAGTGGTTATTGGATGATCATTGTCATCTTTTTCATATATATATATATATATATATATATATATATATATATATATATATATATATATATATATATATATATATATATATATATATATATATATATATATATATATATATATATATATATATATATATATATATATATATATATATATATATATATATATATATATATATATATATATATATATATATATATATATATATATATATATATATATATATATATATATATATATATATATATATATATATATATATATATATATATATATATATATATATATATATATATATATATATATATATATATATATATATATATATATATATATATATATTGGACAAACTAAAATCGTTCCGGACCACAGAATGCTGGACTAGAGAGGTACAACCTATATATATATATATATATATATATAATTCTTGTGTGAAACAAAATGACACCACGAATGATTTTTGATAAAGGCTCGTGAGGCATAATGTTATTCACAAATCATAATGCAACGAACTAATTTTATATCTTGAATGAAATAATTAAATTAGGCCTACCATAATAGGTAGGAAATGTCTCACAATCATGCCTACCAACCCTAGCGAGACAAGAGGATTGTTCAGTTCCAAATTCATTAAAACCCTCCTAATAGATACTTTTTTATGGAGTGTACATACAGCACAAAAGGCAGCTTTACATTTACTGTATACATGTAGTGTCATACAATATGACAACTTACAAAATATTCTAAACAAAGATTCACGATCGTGTGCTATGTTGGTACCCTAATTCCCCCTTATGTGGGGAAATATGGATATGCCAGTGACTCATTTTTATATCCCTATTTGTATAGCGTATAAGTATAATTACTTTAATCTCATAAACTTGCCAGGCATTACTTTTACCTTTATCCTCTTTGCCACTGATCGGCTCATTAGCCGCTTGGGCGGTCGGTCACGTCTCTGTTACACATTGTTGCAAGTACTGGGCATGCACCGGCTCCTGAATGTATCTGAACCTGCTAAAATGTTGGTCAAGTATGGTTTTGAAAGAGCTCACACTCGGTGCTGTCACAACACTCTCTGGCAGGTTGTTCCAAGAGTTCACAATTCAACCTTGAGCTGTGACTCCTTGTGGAGTGGGTGTTTGCCAGCTCCAGGTATGGACACTCGACTGAGTACTGCCCTTTGAGATGTTTATACACCTTAATTAGGCCACCCCTAGCCGTCTGTATAAGGTAAGCAGTTGCTGACACATGACTGCTTCTGGCACTATTGCATTGAGTTCCTCTGACACCATTGTAATGGATACTATGGGCTGCTGTATAGCAGCGGTGGTAGGTTGATCCTTCAGATGATCCGCCTCATCGTCGACTTTTACTTTCTCCTGATGTCAGTACCACCTTGTACTGATTTTCTATTCACATTGCACGTTTTTCTTTTGAATTCAGTACCGCACCATGAACAGTCAGCAAAAAAAAAAAAAAAGTTTTGCACCTCTAGGTCTGATGGCCTTTTCAACTATCACTGACTGAGACCATGTTAATTTGGTAAGGTTGGTATTTCTGGTTGTGTGATGCATTGTATAACCAGTATGATGTATTTTTTATATCACATACAGTATAGCTAATACAGAGAAATTAACAGAATTCACCCACGTAACTGAGTGTTGTTCAGAATTTTTGGTCCGGTGTGTCATATTGTATGACACCATAAAGGTGCAGAAATGTTGTTGTTGACTGTTCGTCTTGTCAACACACCTTGTATGTCTTCTTCCATATGTTGTTGGCACCACATCTACTCACTTCCTGTTGGCTTATCATGCGACTTTCCTCTTAAATCAGTTACTAACTTATTCCAGATGGTTTTTACAGTTTCAGTTCCACTTCAGTTATCCACTGAGAATAGTGATAATGATTGCGTGGCGGGCATTTACATTATCGACTCGGCTGGTGTTCCATATGTGGAAATAATTAAAAACAAAACAAAAAACCACTTTGTTGTAATCAATAAAAAGTGACCTTTCCAACATAGCAATTACAGAAGATATCATCAAAAGGAAAATAGTTACCTGGAAAGAATTCAAAGCCCCTGGAGTTGTGGAGCACAGACCAAGGTGGCAAAGCAGATTTGCACTCCACTAAGAGTTGTTCAGGAAGTCCTTGGATCAAGATAAAGTGCCTAGGAACTGGAGATCAGCCAGTGTCATCTTAGTACTGTATGCAAGAAGGGTAGAAAAAGTTCAGTAGAAAACATCCCATATATGCAAGCTCCTTCAGAAAATTCTGTGGGATGCCATCACATGCATTGCAACACGTTTTCACGGAAAGGAAAGCCTGCATGACAAACTTCTCGCATTCCTTGAAACAGTAATAGACTATGTGGACCAAGGCTTGCCAATGGATGTATGTACTGTGTACATGGGTTTCTCCAAGGCATGCGACAAAGTCCCACATGCACAACTAGCCTCTAAAGATTCAGGCACATGGCATCACAGGCAACAGACAGTGGTAATAAATGGAGTACATTCTGAATGGAAAAGGTTCTCAATGGAGTACCACAAGTCTATCTTTGGACCCACCCAGTTTGTGATCAACATAAATGACATACAGTAGATGAAAACATACTGAGTCACATTGTTATGTTTGCAGACGATACGAAGATATTTGGGTAGGTAGCAAGTCAAGACGAGGTTGCAATAATGCACAAAGATCTGCATGAGCTGTTCAAATGGTTTCGATTCTAGCAAATGCTCTAGCATTATGAAATGGAAGTTCCTAAATCAGGCAAATAAATTATTGGGCCTTATAAGAAGGTCGTTCAGATATCTAGACGGTCCGTCCCTCGTAACGATCTTCAGGAGTGAAGTGCTTCCCCATCTGGAGTACTGTCACCCCATCTGGTCCCCGAGATATGCTAGGGATTGTCAGTTGGTTGAAAATGTTCAAAGTAGGGCCACCAGACTGGTGCCTGCACTTCGGCACCTTAGCTACCCTGAGAGATTGGAGCGCCTGAACTTGCCCAGCTTATACTACAGACGGGCAAGGGGGGACCTAGTTGAGGTGTATAAGCATCTCAGGGGGCACTACTCACTACTCAGTTGAGTGTCCTTACTTGGAGCTGGCGGACGCTCGCCCCACAAGAGGTCACAGCTCAAGGTTGAAGAAGCCGCAAGTCCAGAAAACTGAGGGCAAACTTTTTCAGAGTGAGGGTTGTAAACTCTTGGAACAATCTACCAGAGTGTGTTGTGACGGCACCGAGTGTGAGCTCTTTCAAGACAAGACTTGACCAACACTGGAGCGGGTTCAGGTACATTCAGGAGCCGGTGCATGCCCAGTATTTGCCAACAGTGCGTGACAGACGTGACCTATCGCCCGGGCGGCTAGCGAGCCGATCTTTTGGTGAAGAAAATGAATGAAAAGGAAAAGTAATCAGAGACGTGACTGATCGCCCAAGCGGCTAATGAGCCGATCCGTGGTGAAGAGGATTAAAAAAAATGATACAGCGACCCTAATCTCAATTATTATTTAAATTAATAACAAGTTTCTGGATACTCTTGATAAGGAGGAAGATGTAGGTGTTGTGATAATCATTCATTGAAGGCAGTGCAACAAGTGAGAAAAGCAAATTGAGATTTGGGAATTATAAAACATACCTTCGAATACAAAGATAGTAAAGTGCTCTTTCAAACAAACCTCATGTACGTCCCAGTCTGGATTATTTGTGCAGTCATGGAAACCCTAATCCCAGAAAGACATAACATCCCAAGAAAAGGTACAATACAGAGCGACTACGATGATTCCAAGACTATGTCATCTCGATTAATCAAATAGACAGGGCTTTAGAACTAACAACCATTCAGACAAGGCACAACAAGGCAGATGTTGAAACGTTCAAAATCCTAAAAATGGATAGAAAAAGTGAATCCAGGCCATTTCTTTGTGATGTTACACACCACCAACATGAGGGGACATAACTACAAGCTTGCCATGTTATGCAGAACGAACAAAAGGAAACACTTCTTCACACAGGGGTGGTAGAACTATGAAATGGTCTGCCAACCCAAACTGTGGAATCCCAAACAGTACTGGGCTTCAAAATAGCCCTTGGCAAAATTATAAAAAAAAATGGAGGGATCTTCCACAGGCCACTGCCCCCTTTTCCTCGCCATGACCTTCCGGAAGGTGGCTATTAGGTAAATATGAACACAACAGGTTTACCGATTCATAGTAGCGGAGTTGGCACCTTTTGCAGTTGAGCTAATCGTGTGTTTCAAAACATGAATCGTATGTTGTAATAACAAGTGCAACTTCAATTAATGTACTGTATGTACTGTATTAGGTTTAGAATCGTATCACAGGTCCCAACAGGACGAAGAAACTACATTAATTGAGATTGAATGTGAAAAGAACCTAGGTGTGTATGTCGACAAGGAACTTAAGTTCTCGGGCCATTGTGAGAATGTGAATCAAGCAACGTTCAGATATCAAGATGGTCCGTCCTTCGTCACGTGACGATCTTCAAGAGTGAAGAGGTTCCTCGCCTGGAGTACTGTCACCCCGTCTGGTCCCCGAAGTATGCTAGAGACTGTCAATTGATTGAAAATGCCAAAGGAGGGCCACCAGACTGGTTCCTGCTCGACGGAACCTCGGTTAACCAGAGAGATTAGAATGCCTGCAACTGCCTAGCTTATACTACAGGCAGGCAAGGGGCGAGCTAATTGAGGCTTATAAACATTTTAGAGGGCACTACTCGGTCGAATGTACTTGCCTGGAATTGGCGGATGCCCGCCCCACAAGGGGTCACAGCTCAAGGTTAAAGAAGCCACAAGCCCAGAAAACAGTGAGGACAAACTTTTTCGGAGTGAGAATTGTGAACTCTTGGAACAATCTGCCAGAGAGTATTGTGACAGCACCGAGTGTTAGCCCATTCGGACCAGACTT